TAAACCTACAGCCAGAGCAGCCCCACGGGCTCTACCTTCTGCCCCCTGGACCCCTCTTTATCGAGCTGCTCCCAGTCAAGGAAGGCACCCAGGAGGAAGCTGCCTCCACTCTCCTTCTGGCTGAGGCCCAGCAGGGCAAGGAGTATGAGCTGGTGCTGACGGATCGTGCCAGCCTCACCAGGTGATCACCTGCACAGCCCCTGCTACCTCGGGCCATCTGGATTGCTTGGCGCCTGGAGCATGAGCTCAGGAGCCCTCGGGCCCAACCTCACTCCCACTCGCACCCCATCAGGTGCCGCCTGGGAGATGTGGTGCAAGTGGTTGGTGCTCACAATCAGTGTCCAGTCGTCAGGTTCATCTGCAGGTAGGTGACCCTTGGGAGCGGAAGGGCCATCCTTGTGTCCTGGGCTCCACCGACTCTCCCTGCCTCCTCTTCAGGCTGAGCCAGACCCTGAGTGTGCGAGGGGAAGACGTTGGTGAGGACCTGTTCTCTGAGGCCCTGGGCCGGGCAGTGGGGCAGTGGCCGGGGGCCAAGCTGCTGGACCATGGCTGTGTGGAGAGCAGCATTCTGGGTGAGCTTCCCTGCCGGCTCCTGTCTACCATTCTTGGGCTGGCTACCCTTCAACTCCAAAGCTTTGATAGTCTCTCCTCTGCATCACCTGTCCCAGAGGGGCCTGCCTTCTTCCCAAACTTCATTTTTCCTTGGTTTTCCTGTATGCAGCAAAGTGTGGGGGAAGGAATGGGTAATTCTGCATGAGAGTGGACCCCAGCCCAGCCATTCCCCCACTTCCCCTGCTAGGAAAGAGAAGAGTCCGCTTCCTTTGCCACTCCTACAAAAGTGCTTCCCTGCATCTAACTCTCATCCATCCTGCTGCAGTTTCTCCCCATTTTCTTTCCTGCTATGTCTCCTATTTAGGATCAAGCTCTCGGTCCCTCTCTATTTACCCCACTCCCCAACAAGAAACTCTTTTTTCCCTGTGAACCTGAGTGGGGAAGAACAGGTGGTGGCAGAGGGCACTGGACTTGGCAGCTGCCCGTTCACTGGAAGTATGTGTGCACATGGGGTCTGTTCACAGATTCCGCTGTGGGCTCTGCTCCTCACTACGAGGTGTTTGTGGAGCTGAGGGGGCTGAGGAATCTGTCGGAGGAAAATCGAGACAAGGTAAAGGAGACGAGGCCAGGGTGTGCCTGTAGGGCCCCTTCACTCTCACACTCCCGGGGTACCATGGAGATCAGGCTTGATGGGGAGGGGAGGGGTGGGGGAGAAGAAGCTCCCTGGGGTTCTGGGAGGGGAGGGATGACTCCCACAGACACACACCTGTCCACCCACAACTTCTAAACACGTGTAGCCTGGGCACAGCCACGCACGCCTTGTGTGCGCACTCACGACCACACCCCAGCTCACTCAAGCCGTTCTGTTCCCAGCTGGACCACTGCCTTCAGGAAGCTTCTCCCCGCTACAAGTCCCTGCGGTTCTGGGGCAGCGTGGGCCCTGCTAGAGTCCACCTGGTGGGGCAGGGGGCCTTCCGAGCACTCCGGTCAGCCCTTGCTGCCTGCCCCTCCTCCCCGTTCCCGCCTGCGATGCCCCGGGTCCTTCGGCATAGGCACCTGGCCCAGTGTCTGCAGCAGAGGGTGGTGTCCTAAGTCAAGGCCTGCTCCACCGGCCGCCTCCTCCCTCTGAGACCTCTCTGGACGGGGAGTCCTTGGCCAGGGTCTGTGACTCTGTGTCACTTGACATTTGTCCATAAGAGCCACTGGGCCTTAGGGAGGCCTTGGCCCCGTTGACCAGTTCTGAGGCATGGGCCTTCAGGGTTAGCAGACACCAGCAGCGCCTGCCCGTGTCCCTGGGTCCTGGCATGGCAGACACTGCTAGAGTTCCCATGGATGCTGATCGTGTCCTGTGTCACAGCCCGACGGGCTTCTCTGGCAGCCACAGCTGTGTGCTCAGTCTGTGCACTGGGCAGGCTGGAAGTGCTGGGGGGGGGGTTAATGTCCCCAGGAGCAACCCGGAGTCAATAAGGAGCAGGACCTCAGCTTCATTGTCCTTGAGCGGGACAATTCTGAAGCGTATTCTACATAAACTCTCGGAGGATGCCCAGCATGATGGAGTCCCCGCTGCCCGAAGCAGTAACCCACTCATTCATGTACTTCCTTCAGGGCTCCTCCCCTGCCTCCCTTCCCCACTCCCTCCTTGGGCTTCCTGGGATGCTCCCAAATAAACCTCTCGAAGCCAGATTCTTGCCTCAGGGTCTGCTTTGGGGAAACTGGGGAGTGGACCCTGGCTCCAGGTCTGGTCTGGGCCTGGCTAGGCCCTGACTATGCGTGCACAGAGGAGCCTTTGGGGACACCTAGCACCTCCTAGGCCAGCACCCACTTCTGCGGCAGGAACGAGAGAATGATTCCTTCACACCGTAAGGCACTGAAGCAGGAAGCAGCCCCGGAGACCATCTGGGTTAACTGTTCTATACCAATGAGGAAACGCAGCCCCGACGGGTTTGTAGAGGCTAAAATAAAAGAAAGAAACTGGGCTCGATTTTGTCTTCCTTCCCTCCCCCTGCCTGGGCTGAGTTTTTAAGATTTTCCATCTTGGAGGCTGCGGGAAGGGGCAGACCAAGACCCTCCAGCTCCTCCTGAGAAGAGGCCATACTGGTTCCAGATGCCTCTGAATGGCTTCTCCATTCCATGTCCCCATATCCAGGCTCATGCTGCAAGCCTCCCAGCCCCAGCCTCAGCCTGTCACTCTGTCCTAAAATCCTCCCATGGGCCGGCCAGGTGCAGTGGCTCACGCCTGTAATCCCAGCACTTTGGGAGGCTGAGGTGGGTGGATCACCTGAGGTCAGGAGTTCAAGACCAGCCTGGGCTTCATGGTGAAACCCCATCTTTAAAAATAAATAAATAATAAGGCTGGGCGCGGTGGCTCAAGCCTGTAATCCCAGCACTCTGGGAGGCCGAGGCGGGTGGATCACGAGGTCAAGAGATCGAGACCATCCTGGTCAACATGGTGAAACCCCGTCTCTACTAAAAATACGAAAAATTAGCTGGGCATGGTGGCGTGTGCCTGTGATCCCAGCTACTCAGGAGGCTGAGGCAGGAGAATTGCCTGAACCCAGGAGGCGGAGGTTGCGGTGAGCCCCGAGATCGCGCCATTGCACTCCAGCCTGGGTAATAAGAGCAAAACTCCGTCTCAAAAAAAAAAAAATAAAATAAAATAAAAATAAAATAGAATAAATAAATAAATAAATAAATAAAAATACAAAAACCTAGCCGGGTAATGGTGGCTCTCGCCTGTAATTCCAACTACTTGGGAGGCTGAGGCAGGAGAATTGCTTGAACCTGGGAGGCAGAGGTTGCAGTGAGCCGAGATGGCACCACTGCACTCCAGCTTGGGGAAAAGGAGCGAAACTCTGTCTCAAAAAAAAAAGAAGAGGTTGTGAATAAGAGATGACCAGGCCTGGAGATGCCATGTGTCTGTCCTGCAGGGTAGCTTAGTCCCTGTTGATGTGGAGTGGGACCACATCCTTCCCCTCCAGGCAGCCTGAGCCAGGGAAAAAGCTGGGGAGATAGAATAAGCTTTCTACCAGCTTCTGATAGAAACTGAGTTTGGTTAGGCACAGCAGCTCACACCTATAATCCCAGCACTTTGGGAGGCCGAAGGGAGAGGATGGCTTGAACCAGGGGTTTGAGACCAGTCTGGGAGACCCAATCTCTACAAACAAATTTAAAAATTAGCCAGGCATGGTGGCACACATCTGTGGTCACAGGTACTTGGGTGGCTGAGGTGGGAGCTTTGCTCGAGCCTTGGTAATGGATGTTGCAGTGAGCTATGATTGTCCCACTGCACCGCAGGCTGAGCGACAGAGTGTAGCCCTGTCAAGAAAGAAAATAAAGAGAGAAAGAAGGAGAGAGTGAGAGAGCGAAAGAAGAAATGCAAGAAGGAAGGGAGGGAGGGAGGGAGGGAAGGGAAAAAAGAGGCTGGGTGTGGTGGCTCACGCCTGTAATCCCAACACTTTGGGAGATGGAGGTGGATGGATCACTTGAGGTCCGGAGTTTGAGACCAGCCTGGCCAACATGGTGAAACCCTGTCTCTATTAAAAATACAAAAGTTAGCTGGTCATGGTGGCGCATGCTTGTAATTCTAGCTACTAGAATGCTGAAGCAGGAGAATCACTTGAACCTAAGGCGGAGACTGCAGTGAGCTGAGATGATCGTATCATCGCACTCCAGCCTGAGCAACAAGAGCAAAACTTACACACACACACACACACACACACACACACACACACACTCCAAGAAAAGAAAGAGAAACTAAATTGGGCTTGGTTTTGGCTTCCTTACCTTTCTTACCTAGGCTGGGTTTCAAAGTTCTCCATCTCAGAGGCTAGTGGAAGGGGCAGAAGGGCAGAAGAAAGCTAGCAGGAGGGGGGCAGCTAATGAACATTTTCATGAAGGAAGAAGGCCCTGGAGCCTGACAGTCCCCAAGGGCAGTGACAAGAAGCAGGGGAGGGAGAGGGCTGTTGCTAGCTGCTCCACCCCCGACGCACATAATGTGGGGTCTCGCAATGGCCTCTTCTCCCGCCCCTAATTAGCAGCTGCCTTCCCCCCCCAACATTGTCCCAGGCCAGCGCCTCTTTTGTGCTCCCAGATTCCTGGGTGCAAGGTGGCCTCATTAGTCCCTGGAGACCGCCCCATCTCCAGGGAGCAGGCAGACAGTCAAGGGGGTGACCGGGGCCACAGTGATCCAACCCTGGCCTCCAAACGCCACAGCGGCCATTCCTTGGGCCCAGCCTGGAGACGGCCCCCCTGCAGGAGGCTAATCTTAGACTTGCCTTTGTCTGGCCTGGGTGTGGACGCAAGAGCCTGTCTCTTCCCTACCATCTCAGAGCACTATAAACCCCAGACCCCGGGGAGTGGGTCACAATTGACCGCTTCAAGGTTCCTGGCTATTTGAACCACCGCAGACACCTCCGTTCCTGGCTACGCGACCCTGAGCGCCAGACACCATGAACCTTCCTTCCACAAAGGTAAAGGCCTGGGGACGGAGAGGACTCATCATACCAGAGAGGCCATCAGAGGGCCTGCTCAGAGGGCTAGAAGAAGGTGCCCCCATGCTTGGTCTTTTCCTGGGTGTGCTCTGAGGCTTGGCTAACCCTGGGTTGGGCGCTGCTTTCTGAAGACCCTGTGCTTACTGAGCGCTTCCTATGTGTCAGGCGCTCCCTTTGCACCTGTCCTCTCTTTTCATCCTCCCAACAGTCCTGCAGAATAGGAATTATTTCTAGTATATCCAGTTTACAGGTAAGGAAGCTGTGCCCTCTAAAAGGCAGGAAACTGGTTCAAAGCCACGGAGTTCAGTTATTCTTGCAAGGAAGCAGGCAGACGAGAGAGCATTCTGGAGTCCTGCTAGCTCCTTATTTCCACGTGTTTCCCTGCTGGAGAGGAGGTGGGGACGGAGGGCTCAGTAAGGCCCCTGTTTTTCCCACGTTTACAACTTCTGCTGAAGACAGACAGGCCGGTTTTTAGGTGGAGTGGTAAGTGTCCTAGAGGGAGCACGGTGGACTAAGTCTCCAGAGGAGAGGGGGATTCACTATGCCCAGGGGTCTCAAAAGGCTTCCTGGGGCTGGGCGCGGTGGCTCATGCCTGTAATCCCAGCACTATGGGAGGCCGAAGCGGGTGGATCACCTGAGGTCAGGAGTTTGAGACCAGCCTGGCCAACATGGTGTGACCTCGTCTCTAAAAATAAATAAATAAATTAATTAATTAAATAAATAAATAAATAAATAAAAATAATAAAAGGCTTCCTGGAGGAGATTCTCTGCTGGGTCTTGAGCGAGTAAACTAGGCCGATACGAGCAAGGGCACAGAGCTAGGAAAACTAAGTGACGGTCAGAGAGGAGCGCAGGCCAGGAGGGGGCGCGAAGCCAGCGGGGCGGGTCCTGGGCGTGGGAGCTGATGGCGGGCGCCATGGGATGACCCCTAGCGCCCTGTCTCCGCTTCCCTAGGTCTCCTGGGCCGCCGTGTCGCTACTGCTGCTACTGCTGCTGCCGACCGCGCTGCTGTCGCCCGGAGTGGCTGCACAGCCCCTGCCCGACTGCTGTCGTCAAAAGACATGCTCCTGCCGCCTCTACGAGCTGCTGCACGGCGCGGGCAATCACGCTGCGGGCATCCTCACGCTGGGCAAGCGGCACTCCGGGCCCCCGGACCTCCAGGGCCGGCTGCAGCGCCTCCTGCAGGCCAGCGGCAACCACGCCACGGGCATCCTGACCATGGGCCGCCGCGCAGGCGCAGAGCCAGTGCCGCGCCCCTGCCCCGGGCGCCGCTGTCCCGCCGCGGCCGCCGTATCCGTCGCGCCCGGGGGACAGTCCGGGATCTGAGTCGTTCTTCGGGCCCTGTCCTGGCCCAGGCCTCTGCCCTCGGCCCACCCAGCGTCAGCCCCCAGAAAAACGGCAATAAAGACGAGTCTCTGTGCGTGTGGCTGGTCTCCGTTCCTGTGCGGTCGCGTCCTTCCCTTTTGAGGCGACAGTGCATCTTGCGAAGGCGGGAGGGCCTGGGAGCCTGGCTCTGGGGCGCCAGCCTTAGCTTTTGCGTGGCTGATTTGGAAACTGTTGGTTGGGAGCTCCCAGTGCCAGGCCCTGGAGCACAGAGAGAACTGCACACTTGCATGCTCGGATCGGGACATGCGGGACTCCCACGATGCTCTGCTAGGCATTCTGTAGCGGGAACTTTACTCAGAGACGCGGAAGGGGAAGGAGAGAAAGAAAGGTTGCACAGGTCGGGCACAGTGCTCATGCCTGTAATCCCAGCGCTTTAAGAGGCCAAAGCAGGAGGATCGCTTGAAGTAAGGAGTTCGAGACCAGCCTAGGCAACATAGTGAGTGAGACATCTCTGCAAAAAGTTTTTTTTAATTAGCCAGGCATGGTGGCACTCGTCTATAGTCCCAGCTACTCAGGAGGCTAAAGCGGGAGGATCACTTGAGCCCAGGAGTTTGAGTTTGAGGCTGCAGTAAGCCATGATTGGGCCACTGCATTCCAGTCTGGGCCACAGAACCAGACATTGTCAAAGAAAGAATAAGACTGCATAGAAGAGCAGAATCCAGCTAGGAAGGGGTGGGAGTTGATCCTTCAACAATGAGTCGTCCAGAATGGCTGCACCATGGGGTATAGGGTGTGGGGAAAGGAGAAGCTCAGGAAAGGGACGGGGTTACAGTCGGTGCAGCCCAGCTCGCAAAGGCTCTCACAAATCATCAGGCTTTGCACTTTATCTTGTAAGTAACAGGGTTACGGGAGGTTCTTAACCAGGGGTAGGACAACGTTTTACTGCAACTCCAGCCAAAGACACCTGTTAACTGGTGTTCCCAAAATCCATGTGATGAAGTCCTGACCCCTGGCACTTCAGAATGTGCAGAATGTGACTGTATTTGGAACTAAGGTCCTCGCAGATGTAATTAGCTAAGATGAGGTCATACTAGTGTGGAGTAGACCTCTAATTAACTGTGACTGATGTCCTTACAAAAAAGGGAATTTGAGGCCAGGTGCAGTGGCTGACACCTGTAATTCTAGCACTTTGGGAGGCCGAGTTTGGTGGATCACCTGAGGTCAGGAGTTCAAGACCAGCCTGGCTATCATGGTGAAACCCCATCTTTAAAAAAAAAAGGTGGGGGGAGGATTTGAACACAGAAACACACACGGGAAGCCCATGTGAACATGACAGTAGAGGTTGGCTCCTACAAACTAAGGAAAACCAACAATTGCCAGCAACCCCCGCAGAAGCCAGGGGAGAGGCACACAACAGGTTCTCCCTCACAGTGTTCAGAGGGAGCCAACCTGCCTTCACCTGACCTGGCTTGGACTTCTAGCATCCAGAACTGTGAGACAATAGCTTTCCGTTGTTTGTGCCACCCTGGATGGCAGTCCTAGGAAACTAATACAACATCCAAAAGTGGAGACACAGGCTGGGCACCGTGGCTCATGCCTCTAATTCCAGCATTTTGGGAAGCTGAAATGGGTGGATCACATGAGGTCAGGAGTTAGAGAGCAGCCAGGCCAACACAGTGAAACCCCATCTCTACTAAAAATACAAAAATTAGCCAGGCATGGTAACACACATCTGTGATCCCAGCTACTAGGGAGGCCAAGGCAGGAGAATTGCTTGAACCCAGGTGGCGGAGGTTGCAGTGAGCCGAGATCCACCACTGCTCTACAGCCTGGGTGACAGGGTAAGACCATCTCAAAAGCAAAAGTAGTGGCTGGGCGCGGTGGCTCACGCCTGTAATCCTAGCACTTTGGGAGGCTGAGGTGGATGGATCACCTGAGGTGAGGAGTTCAAGACCAGCCTGGCCATCATGGTGAAACCCTATCTAAAAAAAAAAAAAAAAAAGTAGAGACACAGAGAAAACTGTGGCACTTCTTAGGACTCTATTAACCCAGATCATACCTAGCTCAGAGGGAGGGGAGAATTTAGTCTGCCCTCCTTGCTCATTAAGGTTTTCACTTTCACTGGCTTCAGCTGTTTTGTCGTAGGAAGCAGCTACCTTCGGCCACAGAACTCAACTGCCTCAATTTTCTGCATAGGTGGTGAGAAAGTCCTGTATCTAGTCTCACCTGGGTCCCTCTTGCCTCTGTATTGGTTCCGTCTTGGAGAAGTCAGAGGTCAAAGTTTTTCAAACCATGACTCTGCCCACCTGGAAACTATCTTTTTCAGGGGTAGTTTCTCCCAAACTTGCCTCCAGCCTCTCTTCCACTGAAGGATAGCAGAGAGGAGGATTAAGACAGCAGGAAGAGGGAAAACAGGGAGGCAACTGCCCTCCAAGACACTTATTTTGTGCCAAAGACATGCATTATGGTATTACATTCTCATGGTAACTGCATCAGGTAAGAATTATCGGCTCCATTTTGCAGATGAGGAAAGTGGGACTTGGAGACGCTATCACTCGATTAGTGTCTAGAGCTGGGACTCTCCCTGGTGGACTCCAAAGCTCTTTTCTTTTCTTTCTTTCTTTCTTTTTTTTTCTGAAACGGAGTTTTGCTCTTGTTGCTCAGGCTAGAGTGCAATGGAGCCATCTTGGCTCACCGCAACCTCCACCTCCTGGGTTCAAGCAATTCTCCTGCCTCAGCCTCCCAAGTACCTGGGATTACAGGCACGCGCCACCACGCCCGGCTAATTTTTTTTTGTATTTTTAGTAGAGGTGGGGGTTTTCCATGTTGGTCAGGCTGGTCTCGAACTCCCGACCTCAGATGAGCCTCCCGCCTCAGCCTCCCAAAGTGCTGGGATTACAGGCGTGAGCCACTGTTCCCGGCCTCCAAAGCTCTTTTCATTCCACCATGCTGTGTGCTCAGTAGGCAGAGTTTGCCAGGGTCTCTTGGGAAAACTGAGGCAGGAGGCAAGAGTTAGTGGTGCTTTCTAGGAGTTGGGGTTTCAATCCTTCGCATCATCTATTCTCTACCAGCAAACTAGCCTTCCTATCTCACACTGGAGCAACTGGGCTGGGGTGCTGCGAAATATCTCAACTCCAGCAGGCGGCACTGTGAACCAGACACCAGCCCAGCGGGGACGGTGCGCGGGAAAACTCGCGAGGTGGAGCCACAAGGAGCAGCCAGGGAACCACGTGTGGGGGCGTGGCCACCCGAAAAGAGGGCGTGTCTATTAGTCAAGCCCCGCCCGTCATTTCAGGCCTCCCCTCCCGGTGGGCGTGTCCCGAATTCTCTCCGGGAGAGACACGCGTGGGCCGCTCCCCTCTGGGAGGAGGGCTGCCCAGAGGGGTGCGCGTGTCGCTAGTGGCCCCTCCCCGTGCGGGGCCACGTGGCGGTGCGGGCCGAGCCCAAGGGGAAGAACCTGGCCCTTGGGGAGGTGGGGGGACCGAAACGGCGCTGAGCGGAGAGCTACGGGGTTCGGAGCAGAGGCGGCGGCGGCGGCGGCAGCGCAGCAAGAGGGAGAAGTGGGGAGGCAGGCGGGCGCATGGGGCGCCCCGGCCCCTCCGGCAGCGCGCCCCCTCCGGCCCGGCCGCGCTGAAAGCCCCCCAGCGCCGCGCCTCGAACCCACGCCACGGGGCCATGCCGGTCATGAAGGGGTTGCTGGCCCCGCAAAACACCTTCCTGGACACCATCGCCACCCGTTTTGACGGAACGCGTGAGTGGGACGGAGGTCGGGGCTGGGGCTTCTAGCTGGGGACCAAGTCTCCTCGGGGCCGTCTCGGGTCTCCTGGACGTGGTGAGACCCGAGGCAAGAGGAGAGAATGGAGTTGAGGGTCTAGAAACTCCCAAAGCCGCGGTGCAGGAACAGGGCTGGGAGTGCCCTGCGAGGGGAGGAGGTGAAAGGGCCGAGAGCTGGGGGGCCAAGGTTAGGGGGTGTGACTCGAGGCAGAAGAGGCTCTTTGTGCGGCAGAGCGGAGGAGGGGCCTTGGGAGCCGCCCGCTCTTGGGCCGAGCTGTGCTGGGGGCGTGTATGAGGGTATCCGAGACACAGAAGTGGGACAGAGTGGCGGGGCGCTCTGGGGTCTACTCCCAGACTCCAGCTCCCACTACCCCCAGAAAAACAGGAGAAAAGATCAGACTTCAGCAGGGCCTAGCTTGGATTGAGGTCGTGTGCCCCCAGATCGTGGGGCGTCCGTGTCTGAGGGTGAGGCAGGAGGAGGGGAACGGTCTGTGCGACGGTGGGAACTCCTAGCTCGCCCACCCCAGCTTGGGTTTCAGGTTCAGCACCTTGGACAGCCGCATGCTCCTTCCCCGCCTCTTCTCCCGCCATTCCCTTTTCCCACTCTGGAGCCCAGAGATTCCCTGCCCTCACCTCCCCCAACCCCGCAATTCCCTCGGGAGCCCTGGCCAGGATTGAAGGGTGGGGGAGCGGTACCCGAGGGCGGAAACTGAGCCGCGGGGCCCTACCCGCTCCCCCGCCCCCCGCCTTGTTTCCATAGCGCCGATCACCGGGGCAACAGGCCCTGGGATGGAAGAAGGAGGCTGCGCCCAGAGCCCAGTGCCTCCCAGGCACCTTCAGTGTCCCCATCAGCTGCTCTGCCCTCAAATAGTCATCCCTCCTAGAGCACCAGGACTGGTTGTGTCACAGGCCCCACCTCTTAGCCGAGTCTCTGTCCCTGGATGGCCCACAGTAGCCCCCCTGGCCTCCCATCCATTGGAACTGGAGGGAGACAGCTCTGGTTCTGTTGCTGGGGGGTGCTGCAGCTATACTCTGAATGCCCTATCCTGTTAAACTTTGAGCACTGGGGCAGATCTCCTGAAAGCAGCTATAAGAATGCTAAAAAGTGGCCCTTTCCTGGAAGGCAGGGAAGGATACCACACATCACTGTCTGCCCCCACACTAAGGAGATCTGAGTTTGGATAATCTCTGCCTTTTGGTTTCCTATCAATAAAATGGATGTGATGTCACCAGAATCTGCCCTGCTTACTCCATAATAGGAAGAAAGCCAAGTGAATGTGGGGGAGCAATTTCACCTTCTCAGAGTAGCACTTACCATGTGCTAGGACTCGTTCTCCCCAAGTAAACTCAAGTAACTCTCACAACCACCATGTGAGGAAGGCCTATTACGCCCTACTTTCCAAATAAGGAAAGTTCAGGCACAAAAGAGGTCATCAAGTTGCCCCAGGTCACGCAGTAAGTGGCAGTGGAGGGTTGCAGGAACCCAGGCTCTTACTCACCAGGCTATGCTGCCTTCTACAGTGACACCAGTTGGAAGGCAGGGGGATGGACGGCATGACCTCTTGGGGTCCTACTCCAACTCCCTGTTAGACCCTGCTTACGTTTCTTAAGTCCTTATCTCTTTGCTCTATCTTCACCGATTCTCAATTCAGAATATCCCAAAGTGGGGTCAGGAGCAACACGGAAACCTGGGAAGCTTCTGACTCTGTGACCTCTAACCCCATCTTAGGGGAGGTGCTGCCCACCTGGAAGCCAGCTCGCCTCCTAGCCTTGACTTGACCTTGGCCTCTTCTTCCCACAGACAGTAACTTCCTGCTGGCCAACGCACAGGGCCCACGGGGCTTTCCCATTGTCTACTGCTCCGACGGCTTCTGCGAGCTCACGGGCTACGGTCGCACCGAGGTCATGCAGAAGACCTGCAGCTGCCGTTTCCTCTATGGCCCAGAGACCAGTGAGCCCGCCCTGCAGCGTCTGCAGAAAGCCCTGGAGGGCCAGCAGGAGCACCGTGCTGAAATCTGCTTCTACCGCAAGGATGGTGAGGGGGCCCACCCCACCCTGCAGCCCTGCCTAGACCCCTGGCCTTACCCAGAGGGAGTCTGAGTGCTCCTCCCCACACTGCCACAAGCTGACTGTGACCGAGTGGGTCCCTGACCCTCTCTGGGCCTGGGTTCCCCCATCTGAAAGATGGAGTGAGCTGACAGAATCTCTGAGGTTCCTTTTGGCTCTTGCTTTGCCAAGCTCTTTACCTGTGTCTAGGAGGATGAGGAGAAAGCCACGTCACGGGCTGCCCATGCTCCTCTCTCCCTCTCTCCATGCCTACAGGCTCAGCCTTTTGGTGCCTCCTGGACATGATGCCCATCAAGAATGAAATGAGGGAGGTTGTGCTGTTCCTCTTTTCCTTCAAGGATATCACTCAGAGTGGAAGCCCAGGACTTGGCCCCCGAGGAGGCCGCGGGGACAGTAATCATGGTAATGGCAAGTCTGGACGGGCAGTGTGAATGGTCAGAAGCCCTCGCCTACCCAGCCACGTGGGATGTGCCCAAACGTATCTGTGCACCTTCCTTCCCAACAGAAATCTCCCTTGGTAGAAGGGGAGCCAGCTCGAAATTTCGGTCCGCCAGAAGACAGAGCCGTACTGTCCTACACCGACTGACTGGCCACTTCAGCCGCCGGGGCCAGGGAGGCATGAAGTCCAATAACGTGAGTCCCACCGCCAACCCAACATCTCCCTAGTCCTCCAGACTTGATTCTGAGGCACCCCTGCCTGCCACTGTTTCCTCGCTTCCCTGCCTGTCTGGCGTCCCTCCTTGGCCTGCTCCTCTGCCCACCCATTTCCCATGTACTATTCTCTGCTCCATCCTATATCCTCCCCCCGCCTCCTTCCATCCCCATCTGCCTCACTCCCTTAGGTGATTGATTGACATTATTCTGCTTCAATGATGTCACAAGGGTGGGGCTCTAGCAACAATTACCTCACCTGCCTGAAGATCATAGGGTTATGCCATGGGTGGTGAAATTGCAAGCTGCTACAGTTCTAGGGAGAAATCCCTCATTGCAGGCCTGGCATCTGGACCTGTATACCACCTCCTAGAATTCCGACCAACCCAGGGGATTGAGTCCCCAACCCTCTGTTAGGGATACAAGGAATGGGGTAGGCTATGCCAGTCTCCTCTCCCTGCTAGGACATGCCCATCCCCCACTGGGCCCCCAAAACCCAAGAGGAACTTCAGGGAGAAGTTAGTGACCCCTCAAGCTGGGGCATGTGCCAGATTTGTAATAGTCTCCTTCTCAAGTAGGATGAGTGTTGGGCCAGGCACAGTGGCTCATGCCCGTAATCCCAGCACTCTGGGGGGCCAAAGCAGGAGAATCAATTGAGGCCAGGAGTTCTAGACCAGCCTGGGCAACACAGTGAGACCCCTTCTCTAAAAAAAAAAATTAAAAATTATCTGAGTATGGTGGTACATGCCTATGGTCCCAGCTACTCTGGAGGCTGAGGCAAAAGGATAGCTTGAGCCCAGGAGTTCAAGGCTGCAGTGAGTTATGATGGTGTCACTGCACTCCAGCCTGGGCAACAGAGTGAGACCTTGTTTCTAAATTTTAAAAATTTTAAATCAAGTGGGGCGAGTGTCAAGCCTTATAAATGCCCGTGACAAGACATGATCAGTTCAAACAGGGGCCTGGGGCAGGGCGAAGTGGCTCACACCTGTAATCCCAGCACTTTGCGAGGCTGAAGTGGGTGGATCACCTAGCCAACATGGCAAAACCCCGTCTCTACTAAAAACACAAAAATTAGTCAGGCGTGGTGGCATGCATCTGTAGTCCCAATTACTCGGGAGACTGAGGCAGGAGAATTGCTTGAACCCGGGAGGCAGAGGTTGCAGCGAGCCGAGATTGTGCCACTTCACTCCAGTCTGGGCCAAGATCAAGACTCTGTCTCAAAAAAAAAAAAAAAAAGGAAGGGGGCCTGGGAAGTACATTGGCAGGAGAAAAAAATGTCAGGTGTCAGCCTCTGCGCCCCTCTCCTGGTCTTGTATCTCCTTTCATGGTCAAAAGTGCCATTGCAGTGCCCACCTGCCCCCTTTCCCCTTGCCCTGCCTTTCCCACCCCCAATCTTGGCTCCTCTTTCCCTCAAGTGTCCCCAACCACCACCCCTCTCCCCTTAGAACGTGTTTGAACCAAAGCCATCAGTGCCCGAGTACAAGGTGGCCTCCGTGGGGGGGTCTCGCTGCCTCCTCCTCCACTACAGCGTCCCCAAGGCCATCTGGGACGGCCTTATCCTCCTTGCCACCTTCTATGTTGCGGTCACCGTCCCCTACAACGTCTGTTTCTCGGGTGATGACGACACCCCCATCACTTCGCGACACACCCTTGTCAGCGACATCGCCGTGGAGATGCTCTTCATCCTGGGTCAGACCCTCTGCCTCACCCACCCTGGCGGGTTGGCTGGGGGAATCCACTTGGTCAAGCCTCACCCACTCCTGGGGCCTGCATGACCCAGGCATTCAGACACCCCAACTTTCTGCATCTTTAAGTCCCAATGGCCCATGTGTCCTGCCCCCTGCAGCCTTCAGCCTTGTGACCTGTCCTCCCCAAGGACCAGCCAGAAGCCCAATCTATCTCTCCATGCCTGCCGCCTCCTCCTCCCATCTGGGCCTCCAAAGCTTGTTCCCAGCTTTCTCTGTTTCTTGGTCCCTTAGCCAAGGCCCCCCAGTAATAGCCTCTTGCACCCCCAGATATCATCCTGAATTTCCGCACCACCTATGTGTCCCAGTCCGGCCAGGTGATCTCTGCTCCTCGTTCCATTGGCCTCCACTACCTGGCCACCTGGTTCTTCATCGACCTCATTGCTGCTCTGCCCTTTGACCTGCTTTACATCTTCAACATCACAGTGGTGAGTGACCTTCATCCCACCATCCAGCCTAACCTCCCAACCTCAGCACAGCGTCTTCCAAGGAAGGGACTGACCCCAAATCCAGACATGCCCCTTCCCATCACTCCATCTGCAGATACTTATCAGGCACCTGTTCTGGGCATAGTCCTCTGCTAGGCACTGGGAGGATCCCAGAGGGTCTGTGCTCCTGGGGAGCTCAGCTCACAATCTTTGAGGGAAGCTGAGACAAATGAAAAGCTAACTATGGCTACCAAGGCGGCATTGGTCTGATGCCAAATGAGTGGTACCTTCCACATTTTTATTTAACAAACAACTGATGAGCATTTAGCTGTCTGCAAAGCACTGTGTGGGGCATGGCCACCATGGGGAAAGGGAAGAAGGACTCAGCCTCTAAACAGCTAAACTGGTGAGGGGGCAGGACTGCTGCAGAGCGTCAGGGACAGAAGGGGTGAACAGGGTGGAAGATGGGCCCCGGGTATGCTGCAGAGGGGCTGGGCTGACCTTGGAGTTCCAGGCTGGAACATGAGTGTGTGTAAAAATGATCTGAAGTCTGGCCAGCATCTGGGAAGCAAAGGTGCCCTTGTTAGGCAGAGGCTGGAGGGGTCTGGGAAGGCTTCCCGAGAGAGATGGCAGGAGGACAGCTAGAGCTTCAAGGGTGAGTAGGATTTAGCTGGCAGGAGATGAGGACAGCGAGCATTTTGGGGAGGATAGTAACCCTAGACAAGAAGGTAGAGGCTGTGGGGTGGATTCAGAGGCAGAGAATGCCAGGACCTGGGTTGTCACAGATCCCTGGGGATACCCTGGAGGTGCCCTGAGTAGTCATCCGTGGCCCCAGCCAGCACAGAGTAGGTCTTCTCAAGTCCAGGGTGGGGCAGTGCTACCCCGTGTCCCCAGGCCCCCTTGGGTGTGGGGCGGGGAAATGGGGAGCAGTTTCCTTGTGTGCTCTCTCCCTGCACTCAGCTATAGCAGGAAACCACCTACACGTAGCCGAATTTAACTAGCCGCCAACGGGCTGTGGGCCTCCTCTCCTGGCTGTGCACACGTGTGTGTGCGCTCCCATACACGTGCATGTGTGGACATCTGCCTCGAGGCTCTGACCATTCTGAGCCGACCTTCCCACCCCTCCCCAGGAGTGCGCCCACTCCTCTATGCCCATCAGGCATCATCAGCTGGGGAGTGGGAGACTGCAGAGAGCCCCCTGCCCCTCCTCCCAGGGACCTTTGGGAGCACATTACAGGTCACTATGTTCTTTCACACACATCATCACGTGGGAGCCCCACGAGAACCCTTCAGGACAGATCCTTATCCTTTTTCAGAGGTAGGTACAGGGCTCAGAGAGGTTCAGTGACTTGCTAAAGGTCACACAGCTAGCAGGGGCAGGCAGGAGATTTGAACCAGGTCTCTAAACTTGCAGCCTAGTATTTTTTCCAACACACCATCCTGCTTCCCAGGTAACCAGGGCCTCCAGGTGGATGATCTGGTGAGATGAGGAATGCCACTGGGGGCCACAGACAGGAAGGGCAGAGACAGAAAATGAGTAGGCACTGGCAGAGGCAGACTTGAAGGAGCCAGGCCTGGATATTCTAGTCCAAGGAGAATAAGAGGAGCATCCCCAGGAGAGGGGGGCCTAAGGTCGGCTGGCTGAGTGAGCCCTGAAGAGCTCAAGCTTGCAGTCAGGAGCTCTGGGACCTGGGGCAGGCATTAAACCCTGGCAAGGGTCCATGTGGAGGAATCAGAGCCACCTCCTTTCCAGTTCCTTCACCTAAAATTAGAGAAAAATTACACGAGGTGGTCCAGGAGCAGTGTAGGGCCAGGGCTGTGGGGAATGCTCTCTGGGGCCCAGGAAGGGGCAGTGAGGGGGTTTCATACCAAGTTCCCCAGGCACGGCCCTAGAGCCTCCAGTCTTAGCTGCCAAATTGCCCCCACTCAGAAGATAAGCCCTCCCCAGCTCCAAGATTGAAGGGCTGATCAATACTTATAACGACCATGTAGATGGTACTGGGAGTAATATTAGTGAATATCGGACACTTACTAGGTACCATTAGCTCCTTCAACCGCTAGCACAGCCCAGGCTCCCTCAGTCCCTGCTCTCCCGCCCCCTCAACTCTTCCACTTGACTCTCATCTGCAGTCTATCCACAAAAGGAAGTGTCCCGAAACCTCCCCCAGCCCTCAAGTCCTTGCCTGTCCCCCCTCCACTATGCTTCTCCATGTCTCGAAGAGTGGTCCCCATCACAATTGCTGTCATTGCTACCGGGGCTCTGTGGAGACGACTGTCTATCCCTTGACTTTGACCAGGGCTGGCTCCTCCACCATCTCCCAGTGCTTCGTGGCTAGAGAGCACCAGGTGGACTGTGATGTCAGTTAGCCCAGATGCCAACCCTGAGTCCCAGCTCTACCATGTCCTTGGTCTGTGACCGTGAACAAGTCATTAGCCTCTCTGAGCCTTAGTTCATTCATTTGCAAATTGGGAATGATGATAATTGAACTAAAGGTATAAATTGTGTGTGTGTGTGTGTGTGTGTGTGTGTGTGTGTGTGTGTGTGTGTTTGCGTGTATTTTTTTTTTTTTTTGAGACGGAGTTTCGCTCTTGTTACCCAGGTTGGAGCGCAATGGCGCGATCTCGGCTCACCGCAACCTCCGCCTCCTGGGCTCAGGCAATTCTCCTGCCTCAGCCTCCTGAGTAGCTGGGATTACAGGCATGTGCCACCATGCCCAGCTAATTTTTTTTGGTATTTTTAGTAGAGACGGGGTTTCACCATGTTGACCAGGATGGTCTCGATCTCTTGACCTCGTGATCCACCCGCCTCGGCCTCCCAAAGTGCTGGGATTACAGGCTTGAGCCACCGCGCCCGGCTGTGTGTGTATTTTTAAATAAGTATACAAATGTTTGGCACAGTGCCTGGCTAAGCACATAGAAAGTACTTACTGACAGGGTGAGGTGGCTCACACCTGTAATCCCAGCACTTTGGGAGACCGAAGCAGGTGGATCACGAGGTCAGGAGTTCAAGACCAGCCTGGCCAAGATGGTGAAACCCTGTCTCTACTAAAAAAATACAAAAATTATGGCCGGGCACTGGTGGCTAACACCTGTAATCCTAACATTTTGGGAGGCCAAGGTGGGTGGATCACCTGAGGTCAGGAGTTCAAGACCAGCCTGGCCATCATGGTGAAACCCCATCTTAAAAATAATAATAATAATAAAATAAATAAATAAATACAAAAATTAGCTGGGTGCAGTGGCAGGCACCTGTAATCCCAGCTACTTGGGAGGCTGAGGCAGGAGAACTGCTTGAACCCAGGAAGCAGAAGTGCAGGGAGCTGAGATCGTACCACTGCACTCTAGCCTGGGCGACAGAGCAAGACTTCATCTCCAAAAACATAATAAAGAAAAAAGAGGCCGGGCGCGGTGGCTCAAGCCTGTAATCCCAGCACTTTGGGAGGCCGAGGCGGGTGGATCACGAGGTCAAGAGATCGAGACCATCCTGGTCAACATGGTGAAACCCCGTCTCTACTAAAAATACAAAAAATTAGCTGGGCATGGCGGCGCGTGCCTGTAATCCCAGCTACTCAGGAGGCTGAGGCGGGAGAATTGCCTGAACCCAGGAGGCGGAGGTTGCGGTGAGCTGAGATCGTGCCATTGCACTCCAGCCTGGGTAACAAGAGCGAAACTCCGTCTCAAAAAAAAAAAAAAAAAGAAAAAGAAAAAAGAAAGTACTTACTAACTGTTAGCCACTGTTTTATTGTTATTGTTCCTTTCCTGCTGTGTTCCCTGGCCACTTTCTCAGGACGGCAAGGATGTCTTTTCTGTGGTAGCCTCCCCTGGCTCCAGGGTGTCTGGTGGGAAGGCCCTGGGAGGGGACTCTGAGGGCTCTGCGGAGGTGTGCCTGCTGACAGCCTCCCCCGCCACCCTCCCGCAGACCTCGCTGGTGCACCTGCTGAAGACGGTGCGGCTGCTGCGCCTGCTACGGCTGCTGCAGAAGCTGGAGCGGTACTCTCAGTGCAGCGCGGTGGTGCTCACGCTGCTCATGTCGGTCTTTGCGCTCCTTGCCCACTGGATGGCCTGCATCTGGTATGTCATCGGGCGCCGGGAGATGGAGGCCAATGACCCGCTGCTCTGGGACATTGGTGAGCCACCGACCCCAGACTTTCGCAGACCACCTGTCCACCTGCCCCATCCCCAAGCGGATGCCTCCACCAGTGCCCACACCCCTTGCCCCACATTCCTCCATTCACCCAACAAACATGCATTGAGCTCTTTCTGGATCAAGCATGGGAATATGGATTTGCAGACCAGGGCTCTGTTTTGGGTGGCAGGTGGGGAGGAACTCACAGCCTAGCAGGGGAGCAAAACCAGTGATAGTGATCAAAGTACAATGTAGGAAACACTGAGGGTGGAGGGGGTGTGTTTCAGGCAGAAGGAGCATGTGAAAAGTCCCAGAAAGAGCTTGGCATCTCTGCCCCCAACAATCCCTCCTTCCCTAGGGTTCATGGCCATGGGCCAGGATCTGACTGGCCTTTCAGGCCCTTGGCATCACCCTGAAAGGCCAGTCAGATCCTGGGCATGGTCCCTGACACCTCCCTCTCCTCCGCCCCACACCTGGCCCACCACATCAATCCCACCTCTCAAATGCCCCTTGAATCTGGCCTTTCCTCTCCTTCCTCTCTGCCCCTTCCCAGTCCACTCCACCTCCCTTTCTCACCCAGTCCTGTGCAATAGCCCCTTACTGATCTTACAACCCCCTTCTCATCCTCCCCACAACCACCCTCCTCACCACAGCCAAATGGATGTTCCAAGATTCAACCCTGACCTGCCACACTCCTTCTGGGATTTCTTAGTGGCTTCCCACTGGCCTCCAAATGAAGTCCATACTCAGTGCGCGCCCTGTGCTCCCTGTCCCCACCTCCCTTCCCGTTCTCCCATGCTCCCTGCGCTGCAGCCACAGCATCCTCTCCCCTGGACCCAGGACATCCTGCTTTCTCACACTGAGCCTGACCATGCCTTTTTCCTCTCTGGAATCCTCCCTTGTTTGTCTTCCCTCTCCACCTAGATGGCTTCTCTGTTCCGTGCCTCATTAGGAACTAATGTTCCATTGGTTCCGTTTGTCGCAACCAAAATGTCCTGTCCTAAGGAGCATGCCTTCCAGACACCATGTACCCAACCCCCCAAATGCCAATGGGTTGGCTTTCCCTAACCTGTTAGGATTCCTAACATACCCTATACAATACTCTCCTTCTGGGAACTCACCTCCCACCTGTAATGAATTATGTCATGTCTCTTTCCCCTCCAGGCTATAGGTTTCACCAGGGTCAGGGAGAGTGTTTGGCTGAGTCAATTCCCCAACACTTTGTATACAGCAGGGGCACAATAAACTATTAGAAAGTTTCAGGAGCCTTTGTACAGTTAGCAGTGTAGTGAGTTGGCAGCTTTGGACTGCAACTGTAACCAGTGCACCATGCGGGGGCCCAGGCTCAGGCCACTCCTCAAATTTCCTGTGCCAACCCGTGCATAAATACTTGCCCAAGGTCAAGTGCAGGCAGCTCAGGGAAACCTGGTTTTCCACCACCGGCACAGCCAGGGCTTCCTGCATCCATCCACCCCACAGGCTGGTTGCATGAGCTGGGCAAGCGTCTGGAGGTGCCCTACGTCAATGGCTCAGTGGGCGGCCCATCAAGGCGCAGCGCCTACATCGCGGCACTGTACTTCACTCTAAGTAGCCTCACCAGCGTGGGCTTTGGCAACGTGTGCGCCAACACCGATGCCGAGAAGATCTTTTCCATCTGCACGATGCTCATAGGCGGTGAGGCCAGACCTGCCATGCCTCAGTGGGGCCCTGTGAAGCCCAATGTGCACGGGGACACTAAGGCACTAAGGCCCAGAGAGGGCAAGGCATCGGCCTGAGGTGTCTCCTCAAGTCCAGTCGTGCATTCATTTCCTGAGTGCCCACTATGTGCTGGCCCTGGGGATGCCACAGACAGGCGTGGCCTCTTGCAAAGGGGATGGGAAACCCAGGTTTATGACCTAATGGTGGGGAGGCCTGAGAGGAGCAGGGGGTGTTACCCATCTCTGGACCACTCCCTATTTCCCACCCCTAGTCTAGTGCCTGGCACCCAGTAGGCACGCAGGAGCCCTCTGGCTCTTGGTCGAGGATAGGGTGGGTTTGGGAGCTGGGGAGGCGGCCAGAGGGGTGGCCGCCCCTGACTGCCCCGCTGCTGCCGCTGCAGCCCTGATGCACGCCGTGGTGTTCGGGAACGTGACAGCCATCATCCAGCGCATGTACTCGCGCCGCTCACTCTACCACAGCCGCATGAAGGACCTCAAGGACTTCATCCGTGTGCACCGCCTGCCAAGACCACTCAAACAGCGCATGCTCGAGTACTTCCAGACCACGTGGGCCGTCAACAGCGGCATCGACGCCAACGAGGTAGTGCGCAGGGGCTCCTGTCTTGCCCTCGCCCTCTGAGTGGCCCTGCAGTGGGGTGGGGAAGGGGTTGCTGCCCCTCTGGCTTAAAATGGAGGCAGGCCGGGTATGGTGGCTCAGGCCTGTAATCCCAGCACTTTGGGAGGCTGGGGCAGGTGGATCACTCAAGGTCAGGAGTTCAAGACCAGCCTAGGGAACATGGTGAAACCCTGTCTCTGCTAAAAATATGAAAATTAGCCAGCTGTGGTGGTGCACGCCTATAATACCAGCTACTCAGGAGGCTGAGGCATGAGAATCACTTGAACCAGGGAGGCAGAGGCTGGGGTGAGCCAAGATTGGACCACCGCACTCCAGTCTGGGTTACAGAGCTAGACTTGGTCTCAAAATAAAATAAAATAGAGGCAAACAGGGCCTAAGGGGTGAGATGTTCACAAGGTCACACACTCACCCAAACTACAGATTCGTGTTTCTTTGCACTTGAATATGGGAGTGAAAGAGCTCAGGGCCCAGCTGACGCCACCTCCCTTATGCCAACATTTCCTGAGTGCCTGCTTTGGGCCAGCCTCAACGCTAGACACTGGGAGCTTAGAGATGATGACACTCAGCCCTGGCCTGGTCCTCAGGGAGACCCGGAATTGTGACAGAGGGAGACAGATGAACAGGGAGTGCGGCAGTGAATGGGGCTGTAAAGGAGGGAGGGATGCTGGTGCCTTCTGTTCCTCATTGTGCCTGGGCGGGAGGAGTCAAGGAAGGTGGCATAGCAGAAGGGACATCACAAAGGACAAGAAGGAAATCAGCCTGCTATAGGAAAGCCATCCCAGGTAGAAAGGGCCATAGGGACACAGGTCCAGAAGTGATGCTACAACAGAGCAGAGAGGGGGCCGGGCGCGGTGGCTCACGCCTGTAATCCCAGCACTTTGGAAAGCTGAGGCAGGCGGATCGCCTGAGGTTGGAAGTTCAAGACCAGCCTGGCTAACACAGTAAAACCCCATTTCTACTAAAAATACAAAAAATTAGCTGGGCATGGTGATGTGTGCCCGTAATCCCAGCTGCTCAGGAGGCTGAGGCAGGAGAATTGCTTGAACCAAGGAGGTAGAGGTTGTAGTGAGCCGAGATCTTGCCACTGCACTCCAGCCTGGGTAACAAAAGTGAAACTCCATCTCAAAAAAAAAAAAAAAAAAAAAAAAAGAGCTGAGTGAGTGTGTTAGGGAACAGAAAGCGGTTTGGTAAGCCTGAAGGAACGGGCGTGCGTGTGCTGCGGAGGGAGAAGGCAGGGCAGGAGGGCACGATGCCCAGCCCAGGTATGGCCTGAAATTTAGATTTTATCCTGCGTAATGTTTAGGCTGGGGAGTAGCATGGGGATTGGGGAGGGAAGGGATCGGTGAGATATCTCTGAGGATGGGATCTGCTGGTTGCAGGAGAGGAGCTCAAAGTGACTCTCAGGTTTCTGGCTTAGGCCAAGGGTGGGGATGGAGGCATAACAGGAGGAAAATGGGGCTTCTGGATGAAGGTGAGAGTCCCAGATCAGCTTAAGAGGAGGGTATGGTGACTGGAGGAGGTCCAGAGGAAGGTTGCCTAGTAGGTAGATGGGAATCAGGCCTCAGCTGGGTATGGTGGCTCATGCCTATAATCCCAGCACTTTGGGAGGCTGAGGCAGGAGGTCATGTGAAGTTGGGAGTTTGAGACCAGCCTGGCCAACATGGTGAAACCCTGTCTCTACTAAAAATACAAAATTAGCTGGGCGTGGTGGCAGGTGCCTGTAATCCCAGCTACTTGGGAGGCTGAGGCAGGAGAATTGCTTGAACGTGGGAGGCAGAGGGTGCAGTGAGCCAAGATCGTGCCATTGCACTCCAGCCTGGGCAACAAGAGCAAAACACTCCATCTTAAAAAAAAAAAAAAACCACCAGAAGTCTTTGGTAGCACTCAAGATCTAATACAACTCCGCATCTTACAGGCTGAGATACAGACTGGGATACTGAGGCCCAGAGAGCAGAAATGGGTTGCCCAAGGCCCACAGGGATGTAAGAGCAGAGCTGACTCCTGGTCTCCTGAATCCCAGTTGAAGGCTGACCCCCAAGGGATGGCTCTTGAATGATGGGGTCGAGTGACCAGCAGGTAGCCATAGGCAGGGAACTGATGGAAGACGACCTGGTCTCTGCCCCTGGAATTGGGTTGCGAGGTTCACACAGCAAGCAAAATTGAGGTTAGACACAGAGGTTGTCCTGAAGGTCTGGAATGGGTGACCTCAAAGCAAGGGCAAGCAGAATTCTCTCTTTGAAGACAGCTAAGCACATTTGTAGACTCAAGTAGTAGCTGCAGGGGAATGGCCAGAATGACCTATGCCCCTTATGCAGTTACTGCGTGACTTCCCAGACGAGCTGAGAGCTGACATTGCTATGCACCTGAATCGGGAGATCCTGCAGCTGCCGCTGTTTGGAGCGGCCAGCAGGGGCTGCCTGCGGGCCCTATCGCTGCACATCAAGACCTCGTTCTGTGCTCCGGGCGAGTACCTGTTGCGCCGTGGGGATGCCCTGCAGGCACACTATTATGTCTGCTCCGGCTCACTTGAGGTGCTCCGAGACAACATGGTGCTGGCCATCCTGGGTGAGGACCCCATCAGCTCCCACTACCTACCCCAGTACCACCTGCCCCCACCTCCCCTTGAGTACTTGGGAATGGCCAGGATTCTAGGGAATGGGATACCCCTCGTGGTTACCTACAGTTCCTGCTGAGGAGTACTCTCTCTTGGTCCTTTCTCCCTACGACCATCCCCTTTTGACAATTCCCCTCTGATTCTCCCCTAATCCCCTTGGCTATCCCTCAACCCATCAACCCTTCCCGGTGACTGTCCCCCAGCTCAGCTGCTCCTTTCCCATTACTCCACTTCCCAGCTCCATTGACTTATCCCCAGTGATCTTAAACTCCATTCACCTTTACCCTCTACCTGACCTGACCCCTCCAGCCATCGTTGATTGTTATCATCCAATTCCATTGACCGTTCCTCTAGCCCTACTCACTCCCACTGACTGTCTCTCAACCTCACCAGTCATTCTCTGCTGACTTTTTCCTAACTCTGTTGATTATTTCCACCAATCCCATTGACTGGCCCATCCTTCAAATGCACTGACCACTCCTTAAATCCACTGACCACCTCTGGCTGATATCCTTTTGTTCCCACTGCCCCAGCTGACTGTCCCCATCCCTTATCCACAGGGAAGGGGGACCTGATTGGAGCAGATATCCCTGAGCCGGGGCAGGAGCCTGGGTCGGGAGCAGACCCAAGCTTCGTGCTGAAGACCAGTGCTGATGTGAAAGCTCTGACCTACTGCGGCCTGCAGCAGCTGAGCAGCCAAGGGCTGGCTGAGGTCCTGAGGCTCTATCCTGAGTACGGGGCTGCCTTCCGGGCTGGCCTGCCCCGGGACCTCACCTTCAACCTGCGCCAGGGCTCTGACACCAGTGTATGTATGCCCCTGATGGCCGCCACCCTTCCAGAGTCCCCTCCTCCAAAGCAGACTTCCCAGCCTGAGAGTCTTGTGTACCTCCCTCCACCCTGAAAGCACCATGCCTGAAGCCCAGGCACCCTCCTCCATGGCCCCTTACCTGCTCCATACCTTCCAACCCTGCTGACTCTACACCGGCCATCACCCAATCCCCTGGCCATCTCTCATCGCCATCTACTTCCAACTCTACTGCCCCATCTCCTGCTGGCCACCCCTCAGCCTCATTCCAAACTCCTTCAAAGGAACCTCCCTTTTTTTTGAAACAGAGTCTTACTCTGTTGCCCAGGCTGGAGTACAGTGGTGTGATCTCGGCTCACTACAACCTCCGCCTCTCGAGTTTAAGCAATTCTCCTGCCTCAGCCTCTTGAGTAGCTGGGATTACAGGCATGCACCACCATGCCTGGATAATTTCTGTATTTTTAGTAGAGATGGGGTTTCTCCATGTTGGCCAGGCTGGTCTCGAACTCCTGACCTCAAGTGATCCACCCGCCTCAGCCTCCCAAAGTTCTGGGATTACAGGTGTGAGCCACCATGCCTGGCCAGGACCCTCCCTTTGGAAACAACCCCTTCATGTGCTTCTCTTTCAAGCCCCTCTGGACCGAGCATCATCCCCTGGGGCTTCCTCTTCTCTCACCACATGTCTCCTGAGCCCACTTTGTTTTGGGCTCTGGGCCAGGCCTGTACATTACCCCTTGGGCCTTGGTCTTTTGCTGCTTTTCAGTCTCACTTTGCTGTGCAGTGTTTGGTAGCGCCCAAGCTCTAGTACAACTACATTTTACAGACTGAGATACAGCCTGGGATACTGAGGCCCACTGAGAAGAAATGGGTTGCCCAAGGCCCACAGGGACTTAGGAGCAGAGCTGACTTCTGGTCTCCCTTCTCCCAGTTGAAGGCTGACCCCCAAGGGATGGCTCTATAACTCTAACTCTTGTTTGAGTTAGAGTTGTAGTTTCTGACTCAGTTCCCCAGAAGACTCCTCGTTCTCAACCTGTAACACTGTTGGGTGGGACGCGGGGGCTGCGCTAGGGCCGTGGGGAGGCGGGAGTGGGCTTGAACTCTCCTCTGTCCTCACAGGGCCTCGGCCGCTTTTCCCGATCCCCTCGCCTCTCCCAGGTAACACCCACTTCCTAGGTGGGGTTGAATTGACCCGGGGAGAGTGAGATGGGGAGCAGCATCCCCCTTTCTGTGGATGGGGAACTGCACCCGCTGGTGAAGGCTCTTACTTAATGAAGGGGTCTGTTGTTCACTGTCCCGAAACATCAGCTGCCCCCTCTGCCCGCAGCCCCGCTCAGAAAGCCTTGGCTCCTCCTCAGACAAGACGCTGCCATCCATCACGGAGGCCGAGAGTGGCACGGAGCCTGGGGGTGGTCCCAGGCCCCGACGGCCCCTCCTGCTGCCCAACCTCAGCCCAGCACGGCCTCGGGGCTCCCTGGTCAGCCTTTTGGGCGAGGAGCTGCCCCCATTCTCGGCCCTTGTCTCCTCTCCTTCCTTATCGACATCCCCGTCCCCTGCCCTGGCTGGCCAGGGCCACAGCCCCTCCCCTCACGGCCCCCCCAGGTGCTCTGCTGCCTGGAAGCCCCCTCAGCTTCTCATTCCCCCACTGGGAACCTTTGGACCTCCGGACCTCAGTCCCCGGTGAGACGCCAGCCTCCCCTGCCATCCCCAAACCCTCACTGGCTTCCAGAACCTTCTCTGGGCTCTATCCCCGGCGTTCCAAACAGTGCTTCATCCTGTCTCCACCCATGTGCCCGCTGCACCCTTCCAACCACAGCTTGCAACCCCAACCCACTTTGACCACTGCTCTTGCTCCACCCCCGGCACTGCTCCCCCAGTCCCCCTCTGCCTGCTCTGCTCTGGCCTGTACCCTCACCCCACGGTGCTGATGAGCACTGCCCTGTCCCCAGGATAGTGGATGGCATTGAGGACTCTGGCAGCACAGCTGAGGCCCCTTCATTCCGGTTCAGCAGGAGGCCTGAGCTGCCAAGGCCCCGCTCCCAGGCGCCCCCTACAGGTAAGGACCAACAATGGACTTGAACTCCATCATCCATCTGCCCATACACCTGTACGTCCACCTGTCCATCCATCCCACATGTAGGAGGGGCCTACCATGTGTCAGGTGCCATTCTGGGAATACAGAGATAAAACAGTCCCCACCTGCGCTCTTGGCATGAGTCTAGCAGGGAGACACCTCTGTACACAGATAAACAATTCCAGATGATAAATACTATGACAGGCAAGAACAGGACTCTGTGGTGGAAGAGGAAGGTGCCCACTGGACTTCCTCCTAGAGGAGAGGAGGGGATGCTTTTCCTTTTTTTTTTTTTTTTTTTTTTTGAGACTAAGTCTCACTCTGTCGCCCAGGCTGGAGTGCAGTGGCACGATCTCGGCTCACTGCAACCTCTGCCTCCTGGGTTTGATTCTCCTGCCTCAGCCTCCCAAGTAGCTGTGCCACCATGCCTGGCTAATTTTTCTTTCTTTCTTCCTTTCTTTCTTTTTTTTTTTGAGACAGAGTTTCGCTCTTGTTACCCAGGCTAGAGTGCAGTGGCATGATCTCGGCTCACCACAACCTCCGCCTCCTGGGTTCAGGCAATTCTCCTGCCTCAGCCTCCTGAGTAGCTGGGATTACAGGCACGTGTCACCATGCCCAGCTAATTTTTTTGTATTTTTAGTAGAGACGGGGTCTCGCCATGTTGGCCAGGATGGTCTCGATCTCTCGACCTCGTGATCCACCAGCCTCGGCCTCCCAAAGTGCTGGGATTACAGGCGTGAGCCACCGCGCCCGGCCCTAATTTTTCATATTTTTAGTAGAGACGGAGTTTCGCCATGTTAGCCAGGATGGTCTCAATCTCCAGACCTCGTGATCTGCCTGCCTTGGCCTCCCAAAGTGCTAGGATTATAGGCATGAGTCACCACGCCCAGCCTTGGGTTGCTTCTTAAAGGATGGGTGGGATCTTGAAGGGTGGAGCAAAACAGTTATTGAGCTGGGCTTGGTGGCTCATGCCTGTAGTCCCAGCACTTTGGGAGGCTAAGGAGGGTGGATCACTTGAGGTCAGGAGTGCGAGATCAGCCTGGCCAATATGGTGAAACCCATCTCTACTAAAAATACAAACATTAGCCAGGTGTGGTGGTGCATGCCTGTAATCCCAGCTACGTGGGAGGCTCAGGCAGGAGAATTGCTTGAACCCGAGAGGTGGAGGTTGCAGTGAGCTGAGAGCATACCACTGCACTCCACCCTGGGCAACAGAGAGAGACTCTGTCTCAAAAATAAATAAATAAATAGAGAAGCTGTTGAAAGGCATGAAAACCAAAGAGATGTTGTGTTCAAACACCAAAGAGAAACTCCATACCAAGATGGGGCGAGGGGGCGGGATGAGCCTGGGGAGTTGCAGGGGTTTCAAAACCAGACTAAGGAGTTCAACCTTCCATCTCACAGACCCTAGAGCTTTGTCTCCCCCTGCTCTCCGCCTTCCCAAAGACAGGAGGGTTCTAGCCCAAGTCATAGGCTCAGGTATTCATGCTCCATGAACTCACCTGCATCTCTTCACCCTGCAGGAACCAGGCCCAGCCCAGAATTGGCCAGTGAGGCCGAGGAGGTGAAGGAAAAGGTTTGCCGGCTGAACCAGGAGGTAGGTTGAGGTTGGCTCAGAGATGTGCCTGATATAAGAGCATTTCAGGCCCAGCACAGTGGCTCACTTTATGTCAGGAGTTCGGGACCAGCCTGGCCAACATAACGAAACCCCATCTCTACCAAAAACACAAAAATTACCTAGGCACCTGTAGTCCTAGGTAACTCGGGAGGCTGAGGCAGGAGAATCACTTGAACCTGGGAAGTGGAGGCTGCAGTCAGCTGAGGTTGCGTCACTGCACTCCTGCCTAGGCAACAGCGTGAGACTCCCTCTCAAAAAAAAAAAAAAAAAAAAGAGCATTTCAGATTCTGGAGCCAGAGACTGAAATTGAAATATTCATGCTAGGCCGTGCACGGCAGCTCACATCTGTAATCCCAGCACTTTGGGAGGCCGAAGCAGGCAAATCACCTGAGTTTGGGAGTTCGAGACCAGCCTGACCAACATGGAGAAACCCTGTCTCTGCTAAAAATGCAAAATTAACCAGGCGTGGTGGTGCATGCATGCCTGTAGTTCCAGCTACTCAGGAGGCTGAGGCAAGAAAATTGCTTGAACCTGGGAGGCGGAGGTTGCCGTGAACCAAGGTCACCCCATTGCACTCCAGCCTGGGCAACAAGAGCGAAACACTGTCTCAAAAAAAAAAAAGAAAAAATTCATGCTAGCTAGATGAACTTGGGCAAGTCCCACAACCACTCTGGACTTAAACTTCCTCATCTAAAATGGGGAAAATAGTAGTATGTACTTCCCGGAGTTTTGAGGATGAAATGAGAACGCACGTGTGCCTGATCCAGTCCCTGGCCCATCATAGGCACTCAGTACTAGTTGGTTCCCTTCCTTCCCGACTGGCTGAGGTTTCCCAGCCTAATAAGAGGATTTCTTCTCCCTCTACCACTGTGGGAGTGTTTCCTGCCCAGGCCCCTTTCCCCTGTCCTTACCCCAGCCATGGGTAATGAGTGCTAAGCAAGTGTGGGGCAGAGGACAGGGAGGCTGAGAGGCCTTCAAGCCTCAGGGAACTGGATCCAGATGTGCCTATAATCCCGGCACTTTGGGAGGCTGAGGCAAGGAGATCACAAGGTTAGGAGATCGAGATCATCCTGGCTAACATGGTGAAACGTTGTCTCTACTAAAAATACAAAAAATTAGACAGGCGTGGTGGCACATGCTTATAGTACCAGCTACTTGGGAGGCTGAGGCAAGAGAATCACTTGAACCTGGGAGGCGGAGGTTGCAGTGAGCTGAGATTGCACCACTGCACTCCAGCCTGGGTGAAGAGCAAGACTCTGTCTCAACAAACAAACGAAAACAGATGTCTGAATTGTGTTCAGGAAGAGTCTAGATCAGGCGTCCCCAAACTATGGCCCCCATGCGGCCCCCTGAGGCCATTTATCCGACCTCCCCACCACACTTCAGGAAGGGGCAACTCCTTCATTGGTGGTCAGTGAGAGGAGCACAGTATGTGGCGGCCCTCCAACGGTCTGAGGCACAGTGAACTGGCCCCCTGTGTAAAAAGTTTGGGGACGCCTGGTCTAGATCCTATATGCTGAGCCTCTGCGTCTGCCTCCTCCCGGAGGGATTTCAGACTTGTCACCACAGAGCAACCAAGCCCAGCCCCTGGGAGCCGGCCTTCCCCGTGTTCTCATAAACATCCCGTAGCCTGGAGGGGTGGCACCTGAGCTGGTTCAGGCCCCGAGGCCTGGGTGGGGCTGGCACATGTTGAGCAAGCTTGAGGGCCAGTCTGCTCAAGGCCTGGGGCCTCACTCAGTTCTAGGCCAGTGTTTTGCAAACAAGCATCTATCAGAACTACCTGACAACCTATTAAGGGCAGACTTCTGAGCCTCTCAGGATTTGAAATGTCTGGGGTGGGACCCAGAAATGCGCATTTTAAAAAGTTTCTCAGTTGATTCTATACTCCCTGAAGTTTGAAAAGCACTGATAGAGACCCTTGAGCTTGTGCGATGGAATGGGCTAAGAATAAGGCTGTGCCTTCACAGATGTGGCCTCTTGGATCATTTTTTTTTTTTTTTTTGAGACGGAGTTTCACTCTTGTTACCCAGGCTGGAGTGCAGTGGCGTGATCTCGGCTCACCGCAACCTCCGCCTCCTGGGTTCAGGCAATTCTCTTGCCTCTCAGCCTCCTGAGTAGCTGGGATTGCAGGCATGTGCCACCATGCCCAGCTAATCTTTTGTATTTTTAGTAGAGACGGGGTTTCACAGTGTTGACCAGGATGGTCTCCATCTCTTGACCTCGTGATCCGCCCGTTTCGGCCTCCCAAAGTGCTGGGATTATAGGCGTGAGCCACCGCGCCCGGCCCTCTTGGAGCATTTTTCGACATCCTGGAAGAGCTCATGCATGTGTGTGTGTTGGGGGGAGGGGGGCGGGGATATAGCAATATCTGCTGCCCCAAATCCTTTGTGGAAAGAGACTGAGGCATTTTACATGTAGGCAAAAAGAACCCTCGTCCTGCTTTCTTCCCAGGGTGGCCATGAGCAGAAAGTGACTGTGAAACAGCTTTGTGAACTGGAGCGGGGGGTGCACCTGGCTATTACTGTGGCACCTGTGAAACAACTCAATGTGTTTTCAACAGATCTGTCGTCTCAATCAGGAGGTGTCTCAGCTTAGCCGGGAGCTGCGGCATATCATGGGCCTGCTGCAGGCCAGGCTGGGTCCCCCAGGCCACGCAGCAGGCTCCGCTTGGACCCCAGACCCTCCTTGTCCGCAGCTGAGGCCACCATGCCTCTCCCCTTGTGCATCCAGATCACCACCCAGCCTCCAGGATACTACACTTGCTGAAGTTCACCCCCCAGCCAGTATGGGGACCATGGAGACAGGGACTGAGTCCCTGGACTCGAGACCTTCCCTATTGCCTCCCTACCCGCCAGAGCCTGACCCTCTGGGACCCTCTCCAATGCCAGAGGCCTCACCCCCAACCCCAAGCCTCATGAGGCGCAGTTTCCAGTCCAGGTCAGACATGTTCCACTGACCCTGGCCCAGGGCCCAGGCCTGCCGGGGGTGGGCGCTGCTGCTCACCATTCTGGGAGGACCTGGGCCCCTTGGCCTCCTGCCTTGGGGTCAGCAGCCACCAGCTGGCCTGGTTGGCTCTGGATTTCTGGACTTTTTAACCAAGCCTGGTTACCTCTGATGCTATTCCCTTTTCCAAGCCTTCCCCAACCTCCCCCTCTGTGAGGGGAGCCACCTGAGGGCCGTGGAACCCAGCAGGCATGAGACGAACCGCAGTGCCCATTGGACTGGGCAGATGAGATCCTACTTTCTCCCCAGGACCTGGAGGCAGGTAGAGATGGGGAGCAGAGGGGAAGGGCAAGGGACCCAGCTCCAGCCTAGGACATGAAGGCAAGACCAGGCAGGATCACAGCAAGTGAGACAGGTTGCAGGATTTAGCCTGGAGATAGCTTAGTGATATCGTGGGGTCTTCTGTCTCAGCGCCTGGGTCTCTGCTGAAGACCTTAAGAGCAATGTTACTGGCGGGGTGCAGTGGCTCTCGCCTGTAATCCCAGCACTTTGCGAGGCCAAGGCAGGCTGATCACCTGAGGTCAGGAGTTCGAGACCAGCCTGACCAACATGAAGAAACCCCATCTCTACTGAAAATACAAAATTAGCTGGGAATGGTGGCGCATGCCTGTAATCTCAGCTACTTAGGAGGATGAGGCAGGAGAATCGCTTGAACTCGAGAGGTGGAGGTTGTGGTGAGTCGAGATTGTGCCCTTGCACTCCAGCCTGGGCAACAAGAGCAAAACTTCTTCTAAAAAAAAAACAAAAAACTTTTTTGCCTGACATGGTGGCTCACCGCCAGCACTTTGGGAGGCCGAGGCGGGTGGATCACAAGGTCAGGAGTTCAATACCACCCTGGCCAAGATGGTGAAACCCCATCTTTATTTAAAAAAAAAAAAAAAAAGAGGAAAAAAAATTTTTTTTTTTTTAAATTAGCCAGGTATAGTGGTGCATGCCTGTGGTTCCAGCTACTCCAGAAGCTGAGGTGGGAGGATGACTTGAACCCAGCCTGGGCAACATAGCAAGACCCCCCCCCCCACTCTGCCATGCCCCATCTCTATAAAAATAAAAAAATTAGCCAGGTGTAGTGGTGTGTGTCTGTGGTCCCAGCTACTCCAGAGGCTGAGGTGGGAGGATCACTTGAGCCCAGGAGGTTGAGGATGCAGCGAACATTGATCACACTGCATTCCAGCCTGGCTGATAGAGTGAGACCCTGCCTCAAAAACAAAAAACCCAGGACATCTGGCTACCATGGGCCGACATGCCATCTGGCAATAACTGAAATCAGCAGGGGCCAGGTGGCCACTGTCCTCCTTTATGGGATCTGCTCTGCGCCCTACTTCACAGTCACCACTTGCAGTCAAGAGTTTCATCATCATCTCCCGACACCCGGCTAGCTTCCCTTGTTTGAAACTTTTGTCAGGTCTCTGTAGGTATTTGAGTTCCCAAAACTTGAGTGTCCATCAGAACTCCCTGAGATCCCATTAAAATGCAGATTCTGCCAGGACAGTGGCTCAAAAATAAATAAATAAATGAAAAGCAGATTCCTGGGCCTCACCCAATGTGGAATGTCTGGGGTGGAGCCCACGGGTGGAGTTGCAACCCCTGCCTCCTTACCTAAGAGCCTGTTCCCAGGTCCCTGTGCCTAACAGGTGCTTTTGGGGCCCAGTAGTGTCTGCTTCTACTCCTAGGCCTGAGTCTGGCAACATCTCTGTTTCTGTCTCTCTGCAGGCTGTCTCTCAAGCTGGTCTCTGCTGCTGCTAGCAACTCAAAAATCCTAACAGCACGCCCTGTCCCTCCCCTGACCCCCAGACCTCTGCCAAGCCTGTTCTCCCCCATGACAACGTGGTCTCACTCAGGGCCTGGACGGCTCCAAAACTCACCCAGGTCTCCAGCTCTCCTCTACCACCCAACATCTTGGGCTCACTTTTGGATAGAAAATAAAGTCTTTATTTTTGTGGTTATTGGCTCTGGGTGTATCTGGGGGTTAGTCTGAGAGTCCCAGGGCTTTGGAGGAGCAACAAAGCAATCACTCCCCACCCCCACCCCCACCCCCACCCCCCTCACCCCCGCTGTACCCCCCGGGCCCCGTTGCTACCTCTAGGAAGGCCGGAGGCACCCGCCAATCTATTTGGCACCACATTCACACCACCAGGGGCCCCAGAAATGAGTGAGAAACCTTAATTAGTCACTATGGGCCTGTTAATATTCCCTTCTCCCCTGCACCTCAGTCATAGCCACACAAACACAGTCTGTGGGAAGGACAGAGTCCTGGCTCCGGCCCACCTCCAGCCTTGGAAAGGAGGGCCCAGGGGACTACCCCTCCCTCCTGTGTAAGGAACTGTTGCAGAGCTGGGTATGGAAGCGGGGCTGGGGGAAGAGCTAGCCTGTCACCAGCCAAAGCCTGCTAGGAATCCCACTCTGCCCCATCCACTCTGTCCTTCCAACAAGCCCGCCTCCCTCTTCCCTTTCACCTCTCTCATGATCACCGGCACAGGAGTGGGGATTGTGTGTTATGGATGTAAGAAAGAGACGCCCTGCTGACCAGATGGAACTAGATGTGGGCACAGTGTTGTGGCAGGTTGTCCCAGAGAGGTCGATTCTCCAGCTGAGGCTCCAGGATATGCCTGGTGTTGGCCAGTACTACAGGCACAATGGCCACAGCTGTCTCCAGTGAGCTTTGATTCCACACAGGTTTTCAGTAGTGTCCCTGGAGGGTAACATGCAAAGGAAGAGGAGGAGGTTCTAGTCTGTGTTGAGAGGTAAGGGTGGGCGGAATCAGAAGCCGGCCCAATCCATATTCAGAGGAGCAGAAGAATAGTCCTGATCCATATGGGGAGGTGCAGAGTGGGGGTGGTTCTAGTCTTTATTTTCGGATGGAGAGGGCCGAGGCAGAGGTTGTCCAGCTCTATATTCCGCGTCAGAGAAAAGAGCTGACCCTGGCTGGGAGCAGGGAAAGGCTGGGAGCAGGGGAAGGCAGAGGCGGAGATGGTCTTTGTGCCGGCCCCCACACACACCAAGTAGGGGGTGGTGGCAGAAGCTCTCCCTTTGATCTCACCCAGCATCCTGCAGAGAACCCTTCCTACTGCCTTTCATCGCTTTCATCGCCTTCCCCATCACAGAGGCCCCCAGCAATCGGGCTTCCCAAGCTGACTTGGCCGGAAAGCACAGACAGGGGCTTCTCCAGATCAGCGAGTTTACAGGACTGGTCCACGCAGCCTCGCGTGCATATTCATTCGCACCATGTTTTTCCTTTCCCAATTCTGCACACACAGTCCTCTGCCTTCTTCCAACTCTCCACCACCCGCCTTCCCTCGGGCGTCCGGAACCGGCGGTGACGCGGGTGGCAGGCTTGGTCTTAAAAAGTTCCCGGCCATAGGCCGGGTGCGGTGGCTCTGGCCTGTAATCTCAGCACTTTGGGAGGCTGAAGAGGGCGGATCACCCGAGGTCGGGAGTTTAAGACCAGCCTGGTCAAGATGGTGAAACCCCGTCTCTACCAAAAATACAAAATTAGCCGAGCGTGGTGGTGCATGACTTTAATCCCAGCTACTCGGGAGGCTGAGGCAGGAGAACCGCTTGAACCCGGGAGGCAGAGGTTGCAGTAAGCCGAGATCGCACCACTGCACTCCAGCCTGGACGACAGACTGAGACTCCTCAAAAAAAAAAAAAAAAAAAAAAAAAAATACCCAGCCGGGCTCCGCCTCGCAGTCAGCCGGCTCCACCCTAAGCCCAAGTCCCAGGCTGCCGCCGACTCCTCCCAGCGCTGCGAACTACAAGTCCCGCCATCCCTCGCGCGCGCCCTCCAGCCACTCCCGCGTTCCTACCGGCGCCGCTGGGTAGGTCGGCCAAGAGTGCCTTCCATTGGTCTCTCCTCCCTGTCAATCACCTGGGGAGTATTGAGGGGCGGGATGGAGGTGGAGATCCGGATCCGGAGCGGCTGAAAGGCGGAAGTGGAGGCCGGAGCCTGGGACACCGCCGGGGGGGGGAAAAGAAGCGGAGCCCGTCCGAGACCCGGCCCCAAGTAACGCCGCCGTCCCGGAGCCGCCGTGAGTATGACTGTCCCCGGACCTGGTGTCTCGCCTGCGTTGAAGCATCTCCAGGGCAGCCCTTACTCCCTACCCAGCCCGTTTAGGGGGATACTGACCCCTCCCCCGACCCGTAGCCCCCTCCTAAGGGGTTCCCCAGGCGTCGGGCCAAAGGAGCGGGGGAGCTTCTTTCTTTAGCTTACCTGCCTTTCTTGAGCCTTAAGGAAACCCCTATGACTGTCCTCTGGCCTGTCCATTCCAGTTGTGGGAGAGAGGAACCCTAAGTTCCGCTCCCCCTGCTCCCAGAATCGAAGGATCTTTGCCAGGTGTGAAGGAACCTGTCCTTCTTGTCTTTTAGAAGTGACGGGGAGTGCTGTCTGTCGCCGTTTTTCTTCCTCCTGTCCCATAAAACCAGTTGTCCCCTCCAGCCCTAGAGGAATATCTCGATTTCCTATGGGGGAGGGGGTCGTCTGGGTGAGACCGTTCCACACGCACAGAAGTGTATTTGCGTTCCCGCAACTCCTTACTTCCCTCTTTCCTCAAGCCAGAAAATCAGCCAGGACCTCAGAGCTAAAAGTCTGGGTCACTTAGTAGGAATGAACTGTTTTCTTGCTTTGCCCCTTCTGTCTCCCAGCCCTGTTCTCTAGTTATGTTGTTCTCTGAGTGTCTCTCTCTTTCCGCCCCCGAAGAATTTAGCTGAGGTTTGCTCAATCCTAGCTACAGATCACAGATCAGGGTGGATATGCCCATTCATTATCTTCTCTCCCCTCCCCCCTTGCTCCAGGCTCAGCTCTGTCCTCCCAGAGCACGTGAGTGGTTTCCAAGCCGCCTCAAAGGGACTGCTTCTCCTGGGACTGCTGTCCGTGTGTCTCTAGGCAGGAGAATAAGACCCAAAATGAGGAGTCTGGAATTGAAGAATCATCTCTTTCCCACTTACAGACACACACACATAAACCACCCGGAGCAACAGGTTCATGCCACGCTGGTCTCTAATCCCTTCTGGGCTTGGACTTATTACTGAGGACTAAGTCAAGATCCCACTGGCAGTTCTGGGATCTGAATTGTAGCCTAAGGAATTCCCACACATGCCAGAAAGTGCCGGTTCCCTCAATCGTATTGACTATGATTCCTGTCTGTTGCTTGGGGCTTAGGTGTGTGAAATAGCTTCTGTCTCTGACCAAGCTTTGTTATGTGGCCAAAGTACAGGCTGGAGACTGTACCTTAATGAGGAGTAGCCTGGCTCTGAGGCCATGACTGACCCTTGCTATCTACAGTGGAGGAAGGGGCGGGAGCCATGCAGCCCGTGGGAATGTCTGTAGCTCTTCAGTTTTCTGACCTACCTTTACCACCCTCTCGTGCCGCTTAAAAGTGCTGTTTTTTGGCATTGACGTGTTTTTGAGTACTTCTGGACAGTCGCTAGTGTCTGATTTCTACAGTCTTGTGAGTAGACCCAGGACTTATTTCACTTTCCCCCAGCACCCTCCCTTCCCCCTGCTGGAGTGCAGTGGCCCCATCTCAGCTCACTGCAATCTCCACCTCCCAGGTTTAAGCAAGTCTCTGCCTCAGCCTCCCGAGTAGCTGGGATTACAGGCGCATGCCACCATACCGGCTAACTTTTGTATTTTTAGTAGAGACAGGGTTTCACCATGTTGGCCAGGCTGGTCTTGAACTCCTGACCTCATGATCCGCCTGCCTTGGCCTCCAAAAGTGCTGGGAGTACAGGCGTGAGCCACTGCACCCAGCCTACTTGTTTCACTTTTTGTTGGACAGCAGAAGCCTTCCTTATTAGGGTCAACAGCTGGATCACAAGCTCTTTATCTGTGTGGGTTCCTTGGGGGGTTATTGGAGACTTCTTCAGCCAATCTAGTTTCTCTGATCTGGTCAGCCTGGGCATCTGAGGGGCAGGGCCGGAGAGGCCTGACTGCTCACTGGCCATTGGTCTCTGACCAGACTTAGGTCTTCAGGAGTGGACCATGGTTTGTCACTCTTCAGGAGTCCTGGGATGAGACTGACCAGCCTTCTGAGGGACCTTTTTTCCTTTGTCTGGACATGCTCTTCTAGCTCTGACTCTGAAACGATTTTTTTTTGTTTATTTTTCCTTTGGGATGGAGTCTTGCTCTGTCACCGAGGCTGGAGCGCAGTGGTATGATCTCCGCTCACTGCAACCTCCACCTCCTGAGTTCAAGGGCTTCTCCTGCCTCAGCCTCCCAAGTACCTGGGATTACAGGGGCGTGCCACCACGCCCGGCTAATTTTTGTGTTTTTAGTAGAGATGGGGTTTTGCCGTGTTGGCCAGGCTGGTCTTGAACTCCTGACCTCAGGTGATCCACTCACCTCAGCCTCCCAAAGTCCTGGGATGACAGGCATGAGCCACTGTACCCAGCCTGAAATGACTTTTGAAGGGGAAGCTCTGCCATTTAGAGAGACAAGGAAGGCCCCAGTGCTTTGGGAGGGTATGCAGCTGCTTCTGGCATCCAGAAATTATAGTTGGAGCAGTGGTCTGACTGCTCGGCGAAAGAGCGATGGCTCTGTGTGTGACAGAAACCCCTCCTTTCTGATGCTGTTCCTCTCCTGCCCTCTTGCCTCTCACGATTAGTGGGCTGTTAAACTGTAGAGGGGCAGTAACACTAATTTTTAAAAATCATTTTAAAGTTACAAAGTTATTTTCATACATATTCCTCACAGCTACCCTGGGAATACTGAGGTTTGTTTCCCCACTTGTTTTTAATTTTTGTTACTTTTCTTTTTTTTTCTGGAGTAAGATAAGGCAAGTATGTGTAAAAGAACTTAAGTAGCTCGCCTAAGGTCATGCATTTAGAAAGTGGTAGGGCTGGGGCTGGGATTTGGGGTCAGATGTGACCTTATCTTTTAACAGTGGGCCTTCTTTGGCCTGGTTTGTTTGCTAAATGAATGAACATGCAGGGTGAGTGCGCTGCAG